AAATGAGGAAGAGGGCAGGAGGGGAAGTGTCAGTGGGAGGGGGGACAGGGTGATGCTGGGAGAGGAGAGGGTAAGGGCATTGGGGCTACCGGGGGGAGGTGCTGGGAGAAGGCTTGAAATAAGGGGTGGGCATGAGGAAGGCAGGGATGGAGCAAGTCATGTGTGAGGGCACAGAGGGGAATGGGGGGCAGAGGGTGGTGAGGTGTGGGCATCAGGGAAAAAGAGGGCAAAGGGGGCAGGGGCAGTGAGGGAAGGGGGAGGCACCAGGAGGGTGCAGGAGTAAGGGAAGGTGCAGGTGCCATGTGATTCTGGGGTGAAGCAGAAGGGCAGACACCTGCAGGGGAGGGACCAGCACCAGAGGAGAGAGGCAGGGCAGGGGTGTAGAGGGAGGTGTTAGGCGAGGGGAGGGGGAGGGGTAGCTCACTTGATCAGAGTGGGACTACTGGAGGAGTGGGCACAGGGGGAGAGAAGGGCTGGTGGAGGGGGCAGGTCGCAGGAGGGCTGAGGGCAGTGAGAAGGGCAGGAGTCAGGACAGCAGAGGAGGGTGAGGAGTTGGGGGGCAGCAGACACCAGGGGAGATGATGGAGCAAGGGGAGGAGACATGGCAGCAGAGAGAAAAGGTAAAGGTTTAAAAATATTTATTAATAACTTGGGTGCCACAGTGGCACATCCAAACAAGCCCCATGAACTCAGTACTGGTGCACAACTCAAAATTCATTCTGCCCATGGGAAGATGCGGTACAAGTTCCCCTCATCTGTGCACCAGGTTTGGGGCCGTTTGGTGGCGGCGGGGAGGACGCAAATTTTTCCTTTGCCCCATGGCGCATAACACCCTCGCTACGCCTCTGCTAGGACAGTAGGGTGAATACACTGAACTCTTGTAAAAAGTTGCCAAGAAACCTTCAATGACTGTAATGCAGATGTGAGGATGGCATTATGTCTCATTTGCAATATGACATCTTAGTACAGCTTCCTCTGACACCCATGTTGGTATATTGTTTCAGTGTTGACACTCAGAGGCAATCACATTGATATATATAGTCTTGAACCACAATGATCAGATCCAAAATTAAAATTCCCCAGTGCTCTGGGCTGTTCAGTTCAGGTTCATCCCTATTTCCAGTAGCACCTAGATGATATTTGTCAAGTTTCCATCCAGTACTTGACCCACCATGACCCCCTTTAGTTCCTGTGAACAGAGGGAAAGGCAGTCTTACTGCAGAAGTTGCGCACAGATTCCAAAAGAAAATAGACAATTTTTCCCTCTCACCTCATATTTTAGGTTTATTTTACTCTTCCTGGGTCAGTTAGTGTGTCTTGTCCTTAGAAAATGCTTGTCTTTGTGACATGATTAATTTAGTTCAGGAGAAAGGGAGGTTAAATTTTTCCTGCAACAAAATGCTAATCACAAGAACTGTCCTACAGAATGAGAACAATGGTCTTCCTAGTCCAGTTTCCTTTCCCCAAAAAATGATCAGCTCCTTCAGAGGAAGGAGCCTGAAATCCTGAAGGAGGTAGTTTTAGAGTCACCTGTCCAGAAATCAGAAGACTTCTGTGCATTCAGAATACTAAGATTTTTTACATGAAAATGTCAGATTCTCTTCCTAAATTTGTTTGGCAGTTAAAGTCATAGCACCAAACAAAAACAGTATCCATGTGACAGACCCATTTCTT